AAACAGTCTACAGATGCGCAACTCTGGTTGCCATAAGGAGCCTATGCAGGAACTCTAGCGTGAACGGGTGGGCGGGGTCGGTTAGCACGCGCCCTCAGAGATACACGCGCGGAAAAAATGTCCATACAGCGTGCGTTTTGCGTAACGAGTGACGATGAAACGTTAGTGTCGATTTAACGTATATACAAGACGTGTATCAACGAAAACGTGTTTTCACAAAACGGCAGGAGAATAAGAAAGTCAGTATTCTACCTGCGGTTGTCACATGATTATAGTCAGCTAATGGCAGGCGACTGCTGATAGAATTTCGGGGAAATTATTCTCCCGGCTGTTAGAAATTAGACACTGCCTAATTCCAGAAGTAATCCGGAACGGAACGGTCAATTGTTGCAAAGAAGTAGGTTGCAGAGCACTTACGATGTAAACGCCGTACTCGAAATATGTAATCCGAAATATATATCGACACGGGCACTGCAGAACACCACAAACACAAAAACGAAAGGAAAGGGGTCCGTGAAGACTCAACACAATGTAGCAGACGCAGTAGTTTGTCGAAACGAACACTAAACTCATCACATGAATTCCTTGGGCTTTTCTGAAGAACTCACTTGTTGCCGATATACGCTTAGGACTTTTCAAACGCTAGAAATCTTGGTACACTCGAATACGTCGTCGCGAACGAAATCTACGGCAGCCCCGCTGGTCGCGGCACAGCACACAAGAAACTAGGCCGGGAAGCACCAAGATCGAAAAAGCTACTAAGTCATCCGTGAAACCTGCACCTTCTTCCATGTTTTCAGCTTAGGGAGAGAGAAAAAAAAAGAGTATGAAAATTGCAGCTCTTTCAAGGCCAAAAGAGGGGCGCCCTCGCAAAGGCTTATCTTCAGTGGCAACCCAACAATGAACACAACGATTTGTCCCTTATATCCTTTTGAAAGTTCGACCCAGCTAAATAAGCTCGAATGAGGGATATGATGACGTCAATTTCGTTGCATGTGCAAGTTAATAGTGCAGTGGATGCTATCCGTAGCCTTGGCCTTCAGGCAGGTGCAGTGCTGTGCCTTATCTCTAGCTTGGAGACTGTAGTCACGTGATCCTACACGGAGACCCGATTGGCCTAAAACCAGGGTTGTAAAAGTTCCTTAAAAAATGTACCTAAGATACAGTTACAGTTATTCATACGAAAATGTACTTAGGTACTCACCTAGGTACTTGCTTAAAGATGTACCTAGGTACAGGTACAGTTACTTTCAGGATACTGTCTTTATTATTTTTTTAATCCAAATTTCTCCAACTATTTGGAAGTAAAGCTTTTTATACTAAGGATACACTCGAAAACGAGCTCGATAAGTGTGCTTTATTGGCGTCAATGCGATGCCCACATCGGTGTTGAATCCTCACGTGCCTTGTCCCCACGCTCCAATTTGTTCACCGAGGCCACAGCTTCCACTGTTTACCATGTCACACCAAAACCGCCGAAACTCGCTTATTGAAGTTCTTGCCCTCAGAGCCGGTGCTGACGCCGACGGGCCCAGAAGACGTCGGCCACATGAAGAAGCGCATGAGTCGAGTGCATATGAACCTTACCTTCGCGACGACGAGCGAAAGGCTTCAAGCTTCCTCGTTTTATTTTTTCTTTCGTTTGTCAGAAGAAAAATTAGTTTTTTTGTTTTTTTTTTCTTTCAGAACTTTTTCAGTTTTGATAAGTGCAAATTTTGAGTACGATTTATTGAGTGGAAACGGTATTATATACGCGATGTTACACTGATGTACGATTGTAATTATAATTTATTTGCAATTATATTTTATGTTGTATTTATGGCAAAACAGTGTCACCACAAGGACAAGATACGGACAACAGAAAAGGCGCACATCGTTCAAGTTATCTCCTTCCTTGTATAGCTGTCAGAGGAACTTCAAACACGTAGTGAAGTCGATTTCGGTTTGAGATGAAAGAAGCAGGTCGCTATTTTTTCTAAACGGAGTTCCGAAGCGATTAAATAAGTTGGTGTCGATAGAACGGCATCGCTAATCCACCGTTCGCTCAAATGAACACCTACATTCACTAAAGTGTGTCGTTCGATGAAACATCATAGGCGGGGCTTCGTTTGCTAAAACGTCGTTCGATCAAGTCAGTGACTCCGATGTCGTGTCCAACTCAACGTTAATCACGGCACATGGTAGTGTGTTAATATTTCAAGATTTAGAGTTTCTACGATTTTGAAGAAGTGATTAGAAAAGTACCTGTAAAAAGTAGCTTCACTTAGTTACAAGTCACTGAAAAATGTACCTAAGATACAAATACAGATACCGAGAAATGTAAGTACCTAGGTTTGTATTTCAGGCACAACAAACGTGCATAGATACCGATTTCCAGTTACTTGTACCTAGGCACTTTACAACCCTGCCTAAAACAAGCATAGCGTCCACTCTAGTGTCAATATCGAGTGAACAGGATAGCTGTATACTTCCTAAGAAACTGCCAAACCCAATAAGTGACCCCCAAGGGGGAATCCAAGCACAAGCTGATCGGGGCGCACGGCTAGCGTGGGGGTGCACTGATACACCTAGAGGAGTTTAGGGGAGAGGAGGATGCTTATTGTCGGTGTACAAGTACACTGGCTGGGCGACGCAGGATGCATCTTTCAGAAAAAGGGTGCATGTGCGCCCGATGCACCCGACTGCACACTTTTTTTCTCAGAGTGTTTTTCGTGTGCGCAACCTCGTTCCACTTCTCCGTCCCGGTAAAATATTCGCTGCGTATTTTAAAGTTCGCTGTAGGTGTCCCCGTTGTTGCATCGTCGCCAGAAGAATTTAATTGTATTATTCGTCAGCAGCTTAAAGCGAAACTCGAACTGCAAGGTGAGAAACGCCACTTACTTGAAACTAAACATCTTTGACAGACGCCTGTCTGGTTGGGAAGTGATAATGGAAAAATATTTGACTCCAACCAACAATTAAACTCGGACCCAACGTTTCAAAACCAGTTCGGGTTCTTCTTCAGGGGCGACTGATCTCGTGCGTGGGAGCAGCCTCGTCTTCTTTGGCGGTATGCATATTTTTTAATCGCGCTTCCGCCTTTCCATCCAGTCTTTTTCTAATCGCGTGTCGTAGTCCGCTCACATAAACAGATGGTAAGGTACCCATAGATCTGTTGATATTTCCTGGTGTATTTTGGATGTGCCATGATTTAAGGTGATGTCTTTTTCGGAGATTGGTTTCAACATCAAGAACGGACGCGTTCGCGAAGTCTATCGGATAATCAAAGGTGTCACAGTGCTCCGCACTGTGACACCTCTTCGCTCCGGGCCTTGTCAAACTACTTACACCGGATAATTTCGCCTCTCACTGGAAGAACATCCACCTATGTCCGCAATGCCGGTGACTTCGTTGAACGCATGTCGGAAGTGGAGGTCATCAGGGACCACTGCATAGTGTCGTTCGATGTCGTGTCCCTCTTTACCAGCGTTCCAGTACACCTGGCAGCCTCCACAGCCAGAGTGGTTCTCGAATAAGATTCCGAACTCAGAACCAGCCTCAGCGTGGACGAGCTGTGCCGCCTTCTTGATCTTTGCCTCCGCGGCACCTACTTTTGCTTCAAAAGAGACTTCTACAAACAAACCAGCGGAACTGCGATGGGTGCGTCCATATCTGACACCACTGCAAATTTGACAATGGAAAGCATCGAACAACGAGCGGTATACACTCCTTTGCCAACAAACCTAGGTGTTCATGCGTTATGTGGACTACTGTTTTTGTATATTGAAAACATCACAAGTTGATAAGTTCCTGGCTCACCTCAACTCCATCGAGCCCGACATCCAGTTCACCGTGGAACGCGAAAACGACAACAGTTTATCATTCCTTGACGTACTGGTGAAGAGGCTGCAGGGGAGGAGATGACGTTTACGGTATACAGGAAGCCGACTCACCCCAGACGCTACCTTAATTTTAAGTCGCACCATCCATCGAGGCATAAGGCATCAGTCGTTGCAACACTCACGTCCAGGGCGGCTGTTATCTGTTCTTCAAAAACTGACAGCAAAATCGAGGGGCAGAGTGTGATCGCTGATCTGAGAAAGAACGGCTACCCTACAAGGTTTATCCGACAAGTCACAAAACGTACGGTTCACGCTCGCCAAAACCCACAACCAAAGGGAGCTGCGCCGCATCGCCCCATCACGCGCATCAGCGTTTCCTACGTTCAAGATACTAGCGAAGCACTACCACGGGTACTGGCAAAACAAGGCATTCACGTGGCTCACAAACCGGTATCCACTCTTGGACGGTTCATGCCAAGACCAAAAGATCGCCCCCCGAAGGAAAAAACACCGGGAATTTGTTTACCGGATACCCTGCTTAAAATGTCCTGTATCATATATTGGCGAAACAAATAACTTATGGAAAGGTTACACCAGCACAGGAACGATGTACGCAAATTCGACCGAGAACGCTATGCTCTTGCGGAGCACTGTGACACCTTTGACCATCCGATAGACTTGTAAACGGAGCGTAGGTCTATAGGACTAACATATAGTACGCTTTCTGGGGCGCGTGTTTGAATGGTGTGTTCAGCGTCCTATCCTACCGATACATAAAAAAAGACCCCGAAGTGGCAACGAATGACGCCACAGAAGCCAGAGTGTCACGCTGTCGGACGTTGCGATCCTCGCGGTCGTGGAAAGGCTGGCGGCAAGCGCGAGCGAACGTGGGTGTCGCCGTCTTCGCCGAGACCAAACTCATTGCTGCCGAAGCTTCCGTGGCCTCTCCCACTGAACTGAAGGGCGACCTGTAGCGGAGCAGGCGTCTGCCGCATCCACCATTGCTGCTGGGATACCACCAGGATCGCGTCCGGCGCCAGTGTGACACTTTTATGACGTCACAAGGCGGAACTCGAGGGTCCAATTTTTGTCTTTTTTTTTTTGGGACGCTGTAGACGCAAGTTGGGAGCGCGTGCGAGGCACTATACTTTAGTAATACTGCCCAAGCTTCGTCGCTACTCGCCACACATTGAGAACCGCGATTCTGTATCGGCGTTTAATTTGCGCGAGCAGGAATTTCACGCCAGTCCCGCGTCTTTTGCCATGGCGAAGAAAAGACCATCCTTCATTTCCAGCAACTCCTTGGGTGAACCTTGCTCGAGCACGTTTCCCGCGGCTAGAACCAGAATTCTGCATTAAAAAGAAAAGAAAAACGTATGTTAGTACGAGTGATTAGACGTTAATTTTATTCTTAGTAGGAACAGAGTCTATTTTGATCACCGTTCCATTGATGCGCGGTTTTTGTTTTTGTGGGATACATATCTTTTTAAAGAAACTTGAAATTGTAAGATTCGGGTAATGATATGGCGTAACAATAACTATATTATTTCGATCACTTTTTTTAATCTTTTTGAATTAGAAAAGAAAGCACACCCTCTATCTCGGGATAACTTTTTTTTTATTCGACACATATAAAAAAAAAGGGATCGACCGTTCCGTGCTTTTAGCTTCCACTGCGTGTTTACGGGATAAACACGCAGTTGTGGCGCTTTCGAAATTTCAAGAATGGGTGGCATAGCAATGAGGCAGACACTCAGCGTTTTTTTTTTTCTTCTTATCAGTAACTCTTTATAATAAAGCTCCAGCGTGACAAAACTATGAAACACTAGTTGTAGTTATACCTGAGATTATTCCATTCCGAGGTTAAAAGTAATTAAATTACAACTATAATTACTTCTAGCAACTTACAAATTGCTGAAATGTAAGCAAAAATGGCAGGAATACAAATACTACTGATTAAAATGACTACCAAAGTAGTCATCTAATATCCACCGAGTCCAATAAACAAGTGACGACTATTACAAAAACATCAGTCTCCTAAAAAATTGTATACATTAATAACATTTGCTTAAAAAACTATAACACTATTTTGCACTTATTTTAAAATGCGTGTTAATGTCAGGGCTGTTGATTATTTATTTTTAATTTCCCATTAATTTGATTTGTTAAACGACACCAGTGATAAATCCTTTTTACGTATACAAAGAATGCAGGTAAGGAAACAGTCTCGTTACTTCTCCACATACTCACCGCTAATATTAAGTCTGTTATTACGACGTGAAAAAAGCTTTTGGATGGTCTCCTAAAAGAAGGTTGCTTCTAGGGTTCCTTCACCAGTTAAACGAAACTGTCAGTCACAGCAGACGTTATTTTCTGACCCCCATTATCAACGACCTCTGTTTATGCTTCCTGTAGCTTCATGCAGTTTGTTTCCTTTAGTTTCCTCCACACGCATTACATGTCTGGCGCGATTGACGGTCTTTATGACATATGGTGTAATGACAGAAGACCCAGGCGGCAAGCTTCTTCAGAGGGAGCATCCAATTTTAGTGGCATAAGGGCAACTAAAGCCATCGTGTGCGAGGGGGTGTACAAACGCAAGTGCAAAGTCATTATAAAAATAGAGAAGCAGCTATTGAATTCGTATCAGTGTGTAGATTAAAATATTTTTCATCGTCTTGTTTCTGAACTTACAAAGTTCACCAGAAGTTGAAACAATTACAGCCCTTGTACGTATAACTTTGAAAAAATGATTGAAGTAAACCTTTAGCCATCAATACGATTATAAACTTCCCGGTTAGTATTATGTTGTTTTCGCTTTTCAGATTCTCATTGAAACAAGAAGTTAGCAACACATCCTCTGATTAAAGTAAAAATGTTAAGCCATTTGGTCAGCCGGAAGGCTGCCGCCTAAGTCATATGCTAGGCGAGTTTGTTTCAACTTTGAACATGATTAGAACATATTAGTGCCGAGGGCACCGTACAAAAAGCTTCCAAGGTGCTTGACTAAATCCGGAGTCCCCGCACATAAAGAACACAATACAATAATATATTAAAACAACAACATTATTGCCCAAGCAAAATGAGTGCACACTTTTTTACTTAAATAATGAATATCAATCTTATCGATGACGAACTTGTCAGGCAATGCGGGCAAGTAATGAACGAGGGATTGAAGTGCATAATCAGTACGGATATGGTGAACAATCCGCAATTCCTGGCGTAGGATACTGTGTATACATTCGAGTTCAGTCAAGTTACAGAAGCTGAGACTAAATGATACACTCTACACTTGAGAATAAATGTAAATATGGGAAACGATAGTCATACACACTGACCCCTTTCCCGATATTGTGTCTAAAAACCAACGGTTCGGCATGAGTGTCCTGAAAACGCTTGCAATGAAACTTTGTACTATTTTTGAGAATCATTGCTTTGTTTATGCAAGTTTTAGCCGTGGGCCCCGAACCAAATGGAAATAGTAAATTTGTGACCTCAACAAAGCGTGATAAATTTTAACTTTACTATTTGTAACCGAACGAGAACGAAAATGACCGGCTATACCAAATATTTTCGCAAGTTTATGAGCTAAATATTCTACACGCTCATCCCATTACATATGTTCCAAAAAAATGTCAGATGGAGTTTGTGCTGGTTTAACATTTCAAACTGGCTGCTATCAATGCTTAAGGTGCAATTTTTAACAATGCACCTATTTAGTCGTTCGATCGAACTATTATCGCACTGCAAGTGTCACATCAATATATATTATTTTATTTTTACCAATATCTTCATCAGCGTCGTAAAAATTTCACGTTTATTTCTAATCATCGCATCTTACACGATCAAATTATAGCTCTTCCCTTTTACCTCCTATTTCGCGTGCATCATCAACATAAAATTTGAGTCCTAATCTCAATGAAAACAAAATTTCAATCATTCTTCCTTCCTCGCATAGCAAAAAAATAAAAACACCTCCCCAGTTATTGCTACTAATATTGACCCGAACCTGTTTCGAAATGCTGATACTAACCGTTTCTACAATGACCCATGATTGTACGATTGTTTTATTTTGCTTTATTATTATTACTGTTCATTTGCTACAGCTTTGCTACCTGTTTTTTGTAATTTATTTATTCAGAGAAGAACCTGCCTCGCCGTGAGGCATTAAAGCAGGGGTCACATACTTTTTTTTAGGGACACAAGTAATAAAAATATCCAATAAATTTTATGAAGACTGTAATATAATATGAAAAACACCACAGAGTGCGTGAGAGCATCTTAACAATATGCCATGAACGCTTCTACCAGCAACCTATTCCACTCTTCAATGGCTGTCGGGAAAAAAGTACAGGGTGTCACAAAAGAAAATTTACACGGTCTTTTCTAACGCAAAAAATAAACTAGGCAACGCCGAACGCTCACTCTCCACCCAAAGGTAGCGCTAGAGATCACAACCAGATGCCAAAGTTTCAGCCCGATCCGATTCCTTAATCAAAAGTTACAACTAATTTTCTGAAAATTGCAATGGGAAAATGGCGGCCGACGGAGTTTTCGAACACATGGGGCTCTATGGCAGCAGAAACCGAAAACGGGCAAAAATGGGCTCCATTTTCCCATTGAAATTTTCAGAAAATCAGGTAACTTTTTATTAACTTATCGGATCGGGCTGAAACTTTGGCATCTGGTTGTGGCCTCTGCGCTACCTTCGGGTGGAGAATGAGCCTTCGGCGATGCCTAGTCTATTTTTGCGGTAAAAAGACCGTGTAAAGTTTCCTTTGTAACACCGGGTATAAGCGAAAGTATATGTGTGGCAGGGGTATGGTCTGATTTTGTGTGGGTGATCCGTTCTTCCTGACACATAAAAAGGTTTCTGTAAAACCTTTTGTTCACATAAAAAGGTTCCTGTAAAAAAGTGTGTATATTGATTAGTAGTTTATTATTGTAGATATCACTAAAACATTCTGCCTAAAAAGGTTCCTTTCTTCACTCAGTTTCTCTCAGTATATGACCTACTTGGTATAATGAAAATTTAGCACTTTAATTTTGTATCCTTTCGGGTTTGTCAAATAAATAAATTTGATGCGGATCCCATATAACTGAAGCGTATTCAATACACGGAAGAACAAATGTAAAGTATAAGCTATCCTTAACTTGATTGGAAGCCTGTCGAAAATTTCTTTGTATAAAATTTAGCATGCGCGTATGGTCTTCAGAGCTATCATTAAATTAATCTTCCATACAAAAACATTTGTCTTGATCACCTTGTCAATATATAGGATAAATATAAAATTAGTAAGTAATTTATAAATAATGCAATCGTCTGTAAACAACATTATACTTGATTGTATATCAGTGATATTATCGTTTAAATAGACCAGGAAGATAAGAGGACCGAGCGGAAAGATTTAGCTGTGGAACCCGGACTCAAATTTGACATACTAGGATTTTTTTCCACAAAGCACGGCACACTGCTTTCGTTCACTTAAATAATCCTTAATCCAAGCCAAAACATTGAAGATACAAAGGAAAGTGTGTATACTTCAATCATGCCCTCGGACCCAGAAGATATATACGAAATAAATAAATAAGCAAATAAATATGCATAGAAAAAAATGAAAGTTGTCGGCTAAAATCACATTTCATCGGAGAGATCCGAAGGGGCTGCCACTTACTTGTCACAGTCCATGACGGTATGTAGCTTGTGTGCGATCGTGATCACGGTTGTGCTTTTGAATTCGGAGTGGATGGTCTCCTTGACAAGCTGGTCCGTGGCCAGATCCACCGACGACGTGGCTTCGTCTAAGACCAGCACTTTGCTCTGTCTCAGCAGGGCTCGCGCGAGACATACCAGCTGCCTCTGTCCGGTGCTGCAAAGTGCGACGCCATGTTATCTTAGCTTTCCTGTCACATTAGAAACTTCAAACGCGTTGTACATTGGCGTTTAACTTAGTGTAGACAATAACCTAATCCCTCGTTAGCAATTTTTCTCGTCATATATACATTGAGATTTTAAGAGAAGCAAGATTTAGCGAGAGCCACGCACCTTATTATTCCTCTGCAGCCGGGGGGGGGGGGGGGGCGACATTATCCGAAAAGAACGGCGAAGAACAAATGGCGAAGCATGAAGCATGAACAAAGTCCTGCGAGCTCCCAAATAAAACCCACCGGAGCATAGGAATGCAGGAAAATGAGGAGTAAGGGATGGGACAAAGTAGTTAATTCCCACAAATTTAGAGCGGTCTTGGAGCGATTTTTTTATGGTATCTTGTTGCGCGTGCAGACCCGCGTTCATATTTACCGCACTAATGGCGCGAGCATGGGGCGCTTTTGGATCGCTCAAGTCACACTGCTCATACTTCATACAAACGACACGGCGATCCCTGCACACATGGTGACAGAATTATCTAGGGATGTGCCTCACGCACTTTCAAAGCACGTTTGCTCAGAGGGGGAACAAAACCCGGGGCAAATGCGGCAGTTTGTGTTTAGCGTCATCTGTCTCCAAGACTAGCAATCGGAGTACGTTCAAACTCCACCGAAACGTGTCGTGACCTCCATACTTTGCGCTTGTAAAGTTTTCTAAGCTGCTGGCAAAAGTGTTCCGGAGAAGAAAAAAGATGCGTTGTGGTTGATGTGTTTACACCACGCCAAAAAGGCGAAAAACTCATCGCGAAATTTCGCTTCTAGACGTGCACCCCTGTTGGCACCGGGTGTTCTACCAAGGTAAGCTTTAATTTCATTGGTATGCTTTATTAGCTCTATTCGGACCGAATTTGGGCGATATGAGGTTTTGTTTGTTTTTCTTTTTTTTTTGTAAAAAACATTATTTACATAGTGGGACACGCGCGAGGCAAAACGCGACAATTTTACATTTTATGACGAGCATGCCAATAACGTACGAGTGTCCTGTTTGTTCCTGAGCCATATTCTTTTTCTCCTGGTGCCTAGGATTGTCCGAGCGCATAAAAACAACAGCAAGGGCATCATAACGCAAAAATAATATAAATAAAGCTTTAAAAGGTGTCAGGCAGCAGCATCACTCCCTTCGCAGTGCTGTGCACACTTCTCGGAGTAGCAAAGAATGCGCTTCAAAGACGAGCCAAACGACTCGGGAATATAAAAATCAGCAGCTCTACAAAAACAAATACAAAACTTGAAAGTATAAAACAGAGAGGACGAGGACGGGAACAGGACATCTTTCATCCTCGTCCTCGTCCTCGTCGGACGTCCTCGTCTTCTCAGTTTTATACTTTCAAGTTTTGTATCTATTAACCAACACGCTCGTTTTCAATTGTAACTACAAAAACAGAAAAACAAGAGAAATGCCTGGGCAACAGAAGCCGTGTTCTTTACGACGTTTTAGGCTTCAGGAACACTTCTTTTGTACCTAACGTAGGACAGAAAAAGGAAACAAGACGGACGGACAGCAGTACTATTCTAACGTGATGTCCCCACAAGGCAAAGCTGACGCGGGCAAAGGCAACAGAGAAATGTGCAACTGAAGGGAAAAAAATATAAGTTTCCGAAAGTTCTGCGGACTGTGCGATTTATACTACTAGAGACTGTCAGTGCCTAGTTTGCAATGAGCATTTAAGCGAAGTAGCCCCTGCATTCAGTATAGATCGAGTGCATGGAATGCAAAGAGTTGGCTCATGAAAAGGGCGTTGGAGCTCACACAGTGTGTTTCAAGTGTTTTTATTGGAAAATTGAACGCGTATCAGGTTTTTATCTGTGTCTCGTTTTGCCACCACGTTGTCTCCTTTTGCCCCACAGGGCGGGGGAAACTGAGACATTGAGTTACTTTCAGATGTTGCAGTTTAGTTTAATGCTTCGAATGCTCCAGTTAAGTAATATTTAATGAGCATAACTTCAAGACATCTAAGATTATCCCCATGCCGAGTGTTTTAAATATTAAACCAAAAATTAAAATCCCAATTAAAATGAAAATGTTTGTCTCATTTGGCCTTACCTTTCCCTATGTATGGTTATAACTCACTCTATAGGCTTTATGCACCATAAGAAACCGAATATTACATTCATACCTGCCCGATTTCTTAATTGAAATTAGTGTCAAAAGATGGACTGCCTCTGAACTACCGCTGACACCAGATGGTGCCTGTACGCGAAGAGGGGCAACGCTCTTCCGATTGATGGGTGAATGGATGGACGAATGGATGGCAGTTACTCCCTCTGAATCGGGCGGTGACTGGCGCTACCTAGCCAAGTAGTGTTTTTAGTTCAACGCCGAATTTCGAATAAGTCAATTTAATCAAATTTAATTCTTCCGTTCGTTCATTTTCGCAACCATAGCTCTAATCTTTTGTTACTAATTTCTACTCCCTTAAAACGGTTTGTTCCATAGTTCTCATCGAATCCCAGAGCCCTGGAGAAGTCAGCCCCTTCGCGGGATGTTCTTGGTGGCGGAGCACCCCATATACCATAATGACGTGCTCTGACCTCCTTTCCAGTTGACGCCATCTGGTGTCAAAGGAGGCCCCAGGAGATTCGAAAAAAACCTGACCCATGCGCTCTACATGTAGGCGCGTGGCAGCCAGAAAAAGTCTCTCCACCTGGTTCAGACACTCTGCCAACTGTTCCAACAGCAGATGGTGGGTCAAAAGAAGATTCTCTCTCGAACACTCTGTTGGAACCACCAGACCAGAACGTATGGAACAATAAACGTCAAAAGTTACGTGATAGTGGAAGATTAAAACAAAAAAAGTATAAAAACAAACCCCATAAAAGACATGTGAGTGCCAAACCAATAAAAATTAAGCTGCTCAACCTGCAAGAAGGAAGCCGACTGAAATGGGAGGAGTTACAAAAAAAAATCAGTAATCGGAAGATATTAGCTATACGGAAACACAGAAGCGCACCTGATAAATGACGAAAGAACCCCACTATCCAAAGTATGAACCTGGATTGGAACAAATAGAACAACAACCCGCGAGAAAGGAGGCAATGTGGGGCTCATGTACAGAAAACGTCCAAAAAAACCGGATAAGGAACAACTGTAAGGAGCATATGTGGGCGTTCTTTGAATTTACAGGAGTGTTTGTCACATAGGACGTGAGATAGAATACATGGCCACCGCAGGCGTAGCAGAATCCTGGAATAAGAGAATATAGAAGTGCATGGAGAAAGATCTAGAAGAACGCAACATGACAATCCCAATTGTACTGATGGGAGACTTTAACTGCCATCTAGCGGAGATAAGCGGTAAAGACGAGAGCTCACAGTCTAAACAAAACTGGTAGAACACAACAATTTAAAAATAGTGAATCTGGAGGAATGCTGTGAGGGACAAATAACATGGAGAATAGACGACCAGCATTCATCAACTACGTTATCGCCACCCAAGACTTGTTCATACACGATGTCACCTTCAAGACATGACAGTATACGAGGAAAAAATGTTCAGCTGCGGAAGTGACCATAATCGGATTAAAATATCTATTGACCATGTCTAGAAAACGTTTCTCCAAAGGTTGAGTAAAGAGAGACTTCACAGGAGAGTAATCTACAGGAGAATTGGGGACGAGGCTAGATTGGTGTGATGGCTTTTAATGTTGAGTTTGCAAGAAGACCCCCGTTAACGTACAGTGAGTTCTACGTGCCTTTCATGCAAATAGCACACACTCACATACAAAAACAAACGAGAGCCAAAAGCGATAAGCAAACATTTTATTATGATAAGGAGGTGAAGGAGAAAATCAAAGTACGACAGGAATGTTCCAGAAAACATCGAACAGGCAAGAATAAAAAGCAACATAACATTTTTCGAACGTAGAGTAACCGCGCAAGGTCATGGTGTGTCATAAATGTGTACATAGGTGACTGGAATGTTTGCAGAAAAGATAGGAAAAAGAAAATATTGTTTTGTTTTTGTTTGTTGTGTTAGTTGGTGACGACCTTGGATTCAAAACTGTATATAGAAGGCTTACTGAATAAACTTATTGGTAGAGTTTGAGACGTAGTCTGACTTCTTTCCCTGCCTCTTCTACATTTGGTTGTTTCAAGGTTTTTTCACGCCCGGTCTCAGGTGTTTTAATATAATTGTATACCAAAAGTAAAGCAAATTTAGGACAACTATAAGCTTCAGAAACAAAAAGCCAAATACCTAGTGGCGACAAAACTTCTGAATATACACACTAACCATTAACTTTTCTTACAAGAAAGTTGCAACAAAATTCGTTGCTTCTGGAGGTATGTAAGATATCTCCGACCTCACAAGGAACTTGAGCACGATGCGGTGGGGAATGGAGTAGACACATGGACCACTGAGAAAGCGATCACCGAGGGAATGATTATCTACTTCCAAGGGCTTCACGCCTGCTCCCACAAAACGCCGAGGACAGAGGAGGAAACTCTCCTGCGAACTTAGAAACAAATTGACCTCAACATTCTTGAACCAATAGCGCCTAGTGAACTTCAGACATATCAATAAACTCGAAGCAGGAAAGGCAATACGTTCTGACGACATCCGCAGCAAGTTCATGAAGAAGCTTAAACCGCTAGCACATGGGCACCTCAGATACCTTTTAAACAACATGCTGGCAAAAAGTGCCACACCTTAAGCCTGGAAACAAGTTAGAATAAAACTAATTCATAAAAAAAGATAAAGGCAAGAAGGCATTTGTATGATACAGACCGTTAACCATCCTGAGTAATGTATACAAACTGTTTACAATAGTTTTGCAAGACAGACTACAGAGACTCTGCATGAAATGCAATACTTTCAGTGAGGCACAGAACGGATTCCGTAGGAACAGACGGGGCAGTGACAATTAATTCACTGTCACAAAACTAATAGGACTCGAAAACCTAGAAAAGTCCCCATTCTATTTGGCCTGTCTTGTCTTGGGAA